ATGGCGGCACAGCCTTCCGGCGTGTCAGCCACTCCTCCCAGTTTGGTGTCACCAGCAAACTTGCTGATGGTACATTCCATCCCTTCATCCACTGGTGAATCTATTGAACAGGACTGGACCCAGTCCTGACCCCTGAGGGACACCACTCGTTACTGACCTCCAACCAGACTCTGCACCACCAACCACAACCCTCTGAGCTCTCTCTGTCCGCCAGTTCTCAATCCGCCCCACTGTCCATCTGACCCACACTTCCTGCGCTTGCAGCAAATGGCAACTGCTCTCCCGCAACACAGAGCTTCGCCCGGGGCTGCTCCCGCTCCAGAGCCGCCAGCGCGCGTCTGTTTGGTCTGATTTCCCGGTGTTTGTACCGAAATGGCAGGAAACCAGAATAAATGGCAGTCCTGAAATCCTCCTGAATGCACCGTTTCGCCATTTTCCATTTTAACGGGCACAGTGATCCTGATTTGTCTTTCTTCCCACAGGATGGCAACGATTCAGATGACTTTATGTAAATAAAGTCTCTCCATTCTCAATCGTGAGGTGGTTTGGGATGTCTTAATATGTCACCATCGCTAAGAACGCCAAAAAAAAAAACCCAAACCCCAAGAAAGTGAACTCGACTCCATTTCTTCAGAACCTGGTTGGTTCTCCCGGCAGCGTGACCAGCTCTGTGCCACGGACGGCTTCTGACCGGAGAAGATCTATATGTCTGCACGTACATCTCTTTTTGTTTTGTTTTTTTTTTTTTTCGGGGCCGTGGGTGGAAGGAAGCAGAAGTGACTTTCGGTTCTACAAAGACGATGGTATTTATTCTAAGGGAAAGGGGCGGTGGAGCTTTTAATCCGCTGAGATTGAAAGGAAGGCGAACAAAACGCCTGCTGTCTCCCCGCTGTCCTGCCGGCGGGGTGACTCGGAAACGGTTGCCCTTAACTCGGTGTGTGTAACGAAAGCGACGCTGCCGACCGCCTCGCTCTTCTCCGGGCGCTGGCGATGGGCAGCGAAGCTGCGGCATCCCTCTGCGCTTACGGGAGGGGGTACGTTTGGCTGAGCTCACGGCTGCTTTGCAGACCTCCCCGGCCCTCGCTGGCGGTAAATCTGGTGGCTCCTCGTTAAATACAGAGCTCCGGATGATGAAGACCCGGCTGGGTTGTTGTTGCAGCCGACTCGAACGCGCGACCACAGAGTGGCGTGTGCCGTTAGCGCAGCGTGAGGATAGCCCGACGGTGTGTTTTCTTCTAAATTAGGCTTTCATTCTTGGGCTGGTCCTTGGAAACTTTCTCGGGTTTGCGAAGAAGAGTTGAGTTTTACGCAGCGTCTGTGCCTGTCCGGGCCGGAGCTCTCGCCTGGGCGCTCCCTAAGGTTTTGGGAATAAGTCTGTACGAAACTGTCGCGATAATCCTTGCAGCGCCTGTATATACGTCACGATTAAATTCATACCGTGCTGGTAAAACGCGCTGCTGGGTGGGAGTCGCCTGGTGTGCTGCCAGCGGAGCCGTGAGGGTCTCGGGCAGCAGAAAGATGTGCAGAGCGGGGCCGTGCTGGCAGGGGGGGGGACACACAGCAAAAACCTGCCCAAAAAAATCCGGTTTTGGGGTGCAGAATCACAGAATCACCGAATGGTCAGGGTTGGAAGGGCCCTCTGGAGATCATCCGGTCCAACCCCCCTCACCAGAGCAGGGGCACCTCCAGCAGTGGCACAGGACGGCGTCCAGGCGGGTTTGGGATGGCTCC